TAACACCTTCTATATTTGTATATGTTTTCCCATTAAGATGGTATTGCAGCAAACGAAAAAGATGGTAATCTGATGGTGCCATTTCTGGAGAATATGGTCGGTGGGGAACAACTTCCCAACCCAACTCCATAATCTTTTGTTGCATCAAACGTGCCACATGTGGACGTGCATTGTCGTGGAGAAAATGAACACCTTTCCAATTGATGAGTGAAAGGCGTTTCTGATGAAAGGCTTGATTTAAACGCTCCAGTTGCTGACTATAGATCTCTGCATTGACAGGTTGCTGTGGAATGAAGTGTGCAAAATTAATTTCTCCTTTGATGTCCCACCAAATGCAAAGCATCACTTTCAGAGGATGGAGTCCAGGTTTTTGGGTTGGAAGTGGTTTTTGTCTAGAACTGAGCCATTGTTTTTAGCATTTAATATTCGCATAGAGAATCCGTTTTTCATCACCGGTGACAATTCGCTCCTAAAATGGTTCACTCGCATCATGCGGCAGAAAAGACAAAGCAACGTTCACACATTGGAAACGATGATCAGAGAGTTTGTGAAGTACCCAAACACCTTCTTTATGGAGGTTTCCCATATTCCTTAGATGTTTAAATATTGTTTCATGAGAGAACAATTTCAGGGCCATTTCATAAGTGTGTTGCCTTGGGTTAGACTCAACAAGAGTCTTCAGAGCATCAATATCAATTCCACCATGTCGGCCCCTGCCATCACAGTTTTTAAGGCTAAAGTCACCTAAATGAAATTAGCTGAACCATCATTGACACTTACAAACATTCAAAACATTTCCATAAACTTCTTTGATATTCTTTGTGGCTACAAATGCGTTGTTTCCCTTTTTGTATTCAAATAGCATTACATGCCAAATATGTGTCTCGTCGTGTACCATCACTATAAAGGATTAGAGTACACTAAACTTTACACATTATGTAGGCTACACTAACGTGACATTTAGGTGGTTCGCTTAACTATTATACATGATGTACGTTTTTGGAGGATGGTTAATGAAAGTGTTCCAAAATGCTATATTAATTTCTTGACGACCTAATATATTCAAGAATATGATCTAAGATAAAATCATTTTGTTAAGCATTTTCTACACGAAAACATTAGTATAAATTTCATGACATTAAAAAATGCTTTAAACAAAATATTACATAAAAAAACAGCTTTCAAAATCATAAAGATACAGAGTAGCTACAATTTTGCACAAAACCTCCAGCTGAAGAAACTCACATCAAACATTAGAATTTAATGTAGAAAGTAAGTAAATATTTTCATAATAAAAACAGTTACAACTACTGTAAATTTACATTCCAAGTTTATTTGATTTCTCTTCTATACAAAACACTGAGCGCTTTATTTATGAAATCATGGAAAATGGTAAAAATGACTAATCTTTTTAAATACAACTTTACATAAATACTGGGTATCAAACATAATGTAATAATTTCTTCACTGCACCTTACCAAGTAAGAAACATTCATTTTACTTTTTCTTTAGTTCTGAAGATCCTTAGCAAAGACAAACAAAAGAAAACAGTATCTCCTGAGGATTTTAGCAAAATTTAAAAGCTGGGAAAGTTAACACTGTAACAAAAATATAAAGTGCACCTTATTACTATATTGCTAGGTTATCTCTTAATGAAACATTTTTATACTTATATGAACAAGCTACTAATTTCCAAGCAAAACTTCATTCTGTATAAAAAATAAGTTAAGAAATTAAACTTATAAATAAAATACAAATTACCTTGAGCGTGATCGCTTAGTTCCTTTACTATGGGTAGTGGTGGTGGCTGTTGATACTGTTGTTGCTGTGATAGATGCATTTGAATCAGAGGAAGGAGAAACAGGTGCTAAGCTAGCATTAGGAGTAACTGACTTGCTGCGAGCTCCAAAACTTTTCTCTCTCTTATTTTTCTCTAATTTTACAGCTGAACCAAGATCAGGTGCTGCCAAGTCTGGAGATTAAGATCAGTAGGCATATCATTATCAAAAGAATCTTTGGATGAAAGAAAAACTATATAACATTAGAGTATAAGAATTAAAAACTGATTACACATATGTTGTTTTATTAATTAATCTTTAGTTTACTTCTTGGATGTGTCAGCTTCTATCATGAAAATAATGTAATATGATGAAACAGAAAAAAAGACATTTGAGTTTTGTGTCTGTAGTACAAGAAGTGACATAATTTTGTTTTTACTTAAACACGATGTTAGAGACACTTTTCTACTGGAGTAATGAAGTAAAAATTGGGATATTACTTTGGTTTTGTCTACACACTTGAACCACTCAAACAACTTTGTACAGCATTATTTTAGTAGATAATGACAATATAAACCATTAATCTCTTTATCATTTGCTTCAGTTTTTACATTAAATCAAACAAAAGGGGGGCTTAGAGATGCCATAAATCGTTAGAGGCCAAATCACATTAAATGTCTTTGTGACCCACCAATGCTTTCAAAATTTTGTTGGAGTGCATTTCTCCATTGTCAAGTAGTTGGTATTTTATGTGGACTAAGAGATTAAATTAGGCCTAAAACTGAAAACAAATACTTAAAAATTACTAAAGAAAGTTAGAGGGTAAGTTAACATATTTTTAGCCACAACATAGCGGTTTGAAGAAAGAAATTCATAATTATTAAAAATATTATGTATCACAAGTTATTTAACTTGACTGAAAAATAGGACGTTTCACAAGGACAATTATTTTGTGATGTTTCGAATGGTACATGACTGCTTTATTGGACAAAGTAAAATACCAATCATTCATATTTAACTGTCAGCATGTGTACAATTAAACTTTTCAAGCAATAATATTTAAAAACAGTGAATCAATTTCATATTTTGCTGATGAGATAGGTTATATATATATATATATATATATATACTGTTACACTTAGAAGAAAGAAAAACCTGGAGGTATAAAAATATTTTTACACATCATA